ATATTATAATGGAACCCAGGACTTGTCAAAATTTGCCATTCCTGACTTTTATCATATTTTTATGTGCATCCATAATGAAACTGCATGGTGAAAGGAAGCAGAGAGCCTTCAAAGGTATCGTGGTCATTTGGATGTTGGGCCAAAACATCAAGGTTTCATCCAGTTGGTTTAACTATAAAATGCTTGATGTCGAGGCTGCAAAGAAAGGGGAAATTAAACATGGCATCAATCATCAATTCTATCTTAATAGCTGCATTATTTACAGTCCTGGTGTTGAACTATTCCAAAAGTCAACTCGACCTATAGAATAGAGACTGCCATGATGTCAAGAGTCACCACTTTGATGGCCGTGAATTGTTTACTGAACGCCATTATCCCCACTGCTGTGTTGAGATAATTGAAGAGACATCCCAGCATGCATGGAATATTTTACCGCAGAACTAATAAAACTGTACACAGTGCCATAGAAATGGGTTCCACAATCCAATAGTGTCCACAATGTGGCTAAGGAAAATGGCACTGAGAGACACTTGTTAGAAAATTAACCCTTGTTCAGTCTACTTTGATGTCAGCCATCTTGAATGAGGGTTTATGGGAGGTATGTCAGCTAGGGAAGTGGTATATTGGGAAGTGTATTGGACTGACATTTTGGCTGGGGAGTAGATTTCATTAAACTGTCTCTTGCAGACACATAGCAGCTGCTTTCATGTTGACATGATACAGACAGTTGGTTTCTTAAGAGAGATTTGTGCTGTGCGGGGGATTTCTGCTCTTGTTTACTGCTGAGTGTGCAGTAGATCCCCAGCAGGAACTCTGGTAGCTGAAGGGAGAATATAAGGGCACTTGGCTTTGATGAAGTGTCAGTTTACACATTATCACACCTGAACGGTGGCCTAATGAATGTCGTCACCATTTCTCTGTTGAATATAATAGTCGGATTAACGTCATCCAGTCTGATATGCATAATAGGCTCGAGTTCTTTAATAGCCCAACATTTATTCTCTAAAATGAAAATATGTTAAAATGTTTTTGTGTTGAATTATCGCGTGATATATAATAGGAAAGAATGTCTTCATTTGCACTATTTGACAAACTGTTATAGACTTGCATGTGTGTTTGGATATTTCAGGGTCTGAATGACAGATGGGTTAAGGTCCAGCTTGTTCCCTCAATTCCCAAAAAGGGTACCAAATGTGAATTTGCTTTATTGCCAGGACACAACACTTCAGTAAGACTCAGATGTCTCTGAAGGGAGTGTTTCCTTATGTCCTCCATGCCAGCTGGGAATTTTATATTCAGATCCATACAGGCCCAATCAGGAACTTTGCTAATCACCTCATGCACAGAACTAGATGCGGGGGCGTGGGTGGCCCAGTCGTCTAAGGCGCTGTGATTCGCTGTGCAAAGTTGCATCCACTGGGCACACTAGAAACCTATGATTGTGGGTTCGAATCCTGGTTCACCCCGATTATGTTTCTAGGTTTGTTAGCGCCATACCTGTGCTCGTGGGTTTCACCAAAGTGGTAAACTTTTGAGACCTGCATCACTTCGGTCTTTCCTCCAAAATTAAGCTGACACGCCATGATATAACTGGAATACTGTTAAAAGCGTTGTTAAACCCAACTCACTCACTCACTCACCCAGAACCAGATGCCGGAGAGGCGCGCACCCAGTTTGTGAAGCAAACAAACATGTAACCATATGATGAACACATAGCTAAATTGTTGGGGATATGTTTTCAAGATAAATAACACAGCTACCAATTACACATTGCTTCACAAATTATCTGCATTCATGAACCATGTTAAGTGCATCCTGCTTTTCTTCCCAGCTGTGTCTGTGCTTGTTTGATGTGTGCTTTGTACAGTACAGTACATCCATCATGTAAGCATGTTTGTTGTTTGTGAGTGACCCATTATTTTGCCAGGCCAACCATTTTTTACTACTAATAAAACATATTCAGAGGCCCATTTCAGAAAAATCATGTGCTTCTTGGTTGAGTTATGTGCAACATTTCATACATTATGGATCTGACAACAATTTTTTTAAGCTGTTGACGACATCCTCCCCTGAGCAATACAAAGCACAATTAGAATAAACATAAAATGAAACATTTTCTGACATGGAATACATGATATAACTGATCCAAGTCACTGAACAATTTCACAACATTAAGAAACATGTTTATTGTAATTTAGTTTCAATGATCAGGTTTCTCATTGCCCAGTGCTCCCAAAGTTCAAATTATCTTCACTTTTTTTATATCGTCAAACCAAAAATGATTTTTTATGAAATCAACTACAGAACACTTGTTGGGATTTTCAGCTCAAACAGATGCATTGATCCAGTTCTTGTGTGTAGAAGGAACTGGACACCCTGTTGTTTCCTCACTGCCTTCCATTTTATCAGTGGAGGTCTTCCAACAACTTATAAATGACTTGATGGGGCTGGTGACTTTAGCTGGGTTGACTGTTTTTGGTTAGGATGTGATTATGCTTGCAGTCTCGAGTGTTTGCTCTGTGGGACTATTTGTCTTACATCTAAGAGTGGTACTTTGAGATCGGACACTCAGAAACAAAGTGTGTTAAAGTCGGATGTCAAAGGAGGAATTATGTTTGTACTAAAAGCAGTGAAGTAAACATCAGTTTGAAAAATGAATGAGTCAACTTGCCGTTGAGTGATGAGATGTCTACAGGGTATGGATTATTATTGATGGAGGCACACCTCCCACAACTACGTACATCGGGTCTACACAAATATGTATCAGTGAAACACATCCGCTGGTTTGCCTGCATCACTACACACGTTAGTGGTCAATACTCTCGGGAGTTTAGTTTGTTTAAGGAACTGGTGCTCCTTCTCCGAGGAATTGACCAATTCTCAGATTATGGTCGATAAGGAGCTGAAGCCAGTGCCAAAAATACCCTAGGGAGATGCGATTTATTCAGTGACTGATGTTGAATTTATTGTAGCTTTTGTGCTATCGAGGTCATAAAACTGATCATAGACCTTCGAGCCTCTCAGTGGAGTTGTTTGTTTCAAGACAAAACGTTGAGTCTGTCGCAACACGCTAATCATGTAATTTACACCTGAAAATGTGTGTGTTGTCTGTTTGCCCACTGGTACAGGTGCTTTATAGGGTACAGATGGAGAACAGTAGTGCTTACACACACACAGGACTATGCTTCCTCCAATACTCTTGGTCTAAGAGGGAAATACTATCAGGATATCTGCTGCAGTATAATTGGTGGACTTGAACAATTTATCAATGCAAAGATATGAGCAAATGAGTTGTTTTAAACATGTTAAAGGGGGTCTTAACTCAGGCTAACTGGTAGTCCCAGTACATTTGATTCAAGTATTTTAATTGCAATGCAAAGTCTCAGTTTCACAAAAGGCACTATATACAACTTCTATACCCTGATGAGACACCATTTTAATTTTCTGTGTTTAATGTGTCTTTCGTACACAGTTATTTTGTACAGAATAAATAAAAATTTATGACGCTATCCAAGTTTGTTGTTGGCTGGCTTCTGTATACTGAAAACTAAAGTGGAAAAAATTGTTAACAAAAAATATGACATTGACAATAGCATGCTGAACTGAAGCGTGTGACCTTCTCAGCTATGTTCCAATAGTTGGCTTCCTGTTTTGTTCAGAATCATAGGTAAACTCCTAGTATGACATTGTATCTTGTCAGTACTTGTATCCAAGTGGAGGAACACGCTGAGCAAATCTTCCATCCTGTATACATCATGACATGACAGCCTAGCGTGGGACATCCTCTCTATCTAAGGGCTGGCATTTCGATAACCTCACAGTAACCCCTGGTCCATTCCTGTGTAGGTTTACTGAAGTGCAAGGTATAGCCGATGAGTGTGGGAGGAAAGCCAGAAGTGAAGCAGGTTTCAGATGTTTATCCTGTGAGGCAAACCTACAAGTATGTGTATGGTGTTGATAAACTAAGGATCCTAAACGTGAATCATGGATTCAAACCCATGAATAGCAGATCCTTGGATTGCCGAGAGACAGCTAGCACAGCAAGAAACAATGTGATTTCAAATAATTTCAATCCTCCCGGCATATAATGCAGCCAGTATTCTCATCCTCTGGTCTGTCTGTCTGTCCGTATTTAGTTTCTGTAGCATAACTTGAAAACTGAAAGAATTTTCATCCAAACTCGGAACGTGTATTACCCAGGGGCTAAAGTGAGGCTTTTGAATAAGTGGATTCAGATTTACAGTTCATTCCTTTTGGCGTACATACTTTTAAGTAATCCCTTAACATATTACACATAGTTAATCATATACAATTTATGAGACATATATATCACACACACAAGTTGAATTAAGAACACATTACACTCAGAGGAGTAATATAACAACCTTATCACAGGCGAGGCCTGTAACTGACCCAGTAACAATAGCTATGACATTAAAAAGAAGTTGCTGAACACTCAAGCTATTTGCAGAAGCTAGTAGATTTGTGCAAGTGTTGAAGTTATTACGATATTTTAAGGAAATAAATTTTAAATATTTAGGTTTAGAATATTAGTTTAATTTGTCGTAGTTTAATATAATGATGCTTTTAAATCTAACAACATACTATTTTCAAACATACTGCTACATGTATTGTGTATGTATCATGTATTTTATGTATCTTGTGTGTATCTTTGGTGAATCATGTATATCATATGTATCATGTATGTATCATGTGTATCATATTAGTAACATGTGTGTATCATGTATATATCCTGGACCCGTGAAGATCCAGGTTAGAGTCTTCAGCAACCCATACTTGGCACATCATTGTGCATGTCATTGTATCCCAATTATGTGGATCAATGCTCATGGTATCAATCACTGGATTGTCTGGTCCATGCAGTCATATGCCTGGAATATTGCTGAGTGCAGCGTTAAACAAACAAACAAACAGACAAATGTATGTATGATGTGTATTGTGTGTATAATTTTGCCTATCATGTGTCTGTCTTGTTCCAGGCTGCCTGCTGAGTGATGTATGTGCCCCAGGCCAGCAGTGTAAAGATGGTGAGTAGGAAATACACATTGTTTTACATCTCCCAACAGGTTCAGCTTTCTGTAGAGAGACATCGACAACTTGGGTTTACTTCAAGGAAGTGGTCCCGGTTCGCCCCGATTATGTTTCTATGTTTGTCAGCACCATACCCATGCTCGTGGGTTTCACCAAAGTGGTAAACGTCTGAGACCTGCATCACTTCGGGCTTTCCTCCCACATTAAGCTGACATGCTGTGATATAACTGGAATACTGTTAAAAGCGGTGTTAAACCCAACTCACTCAGAAGAAGTGGATTTCTTGACCAAACTTGGGGAAATAAGGGTTCCTCTATGTAGTTTACTGTGAACACACCAGCTATTTAGACATTCTTGGCATCTTTGAACGCATCTTAGAACTGGGTTTTGTAATGTGTGTAATCAAAAGAAATAAATGATTGCCATGAAATGTTGTTTTCTTGTACAGCATGTTTATTGTGACCAATGTGGCCTAACTGCATCGTCAGCAGATTTGTGAACCATGAGGGCCAAACATCCTGATATTGGACATCAGTATAGTTTTTGTTGTGGATCTCTCATAGCTACAATGACTCTCCTCTCATTTTGACAGTCAGATGAAATAGAAGCTTCAATGACTGATGTGAAAGTTATAGCCTTGAATCTGTTTGAAACTGTATCTTCCTCAGTGATCAAAGTTGGATGAGAGCAAGATATTGAGAATGTGTCGAAGAAGGCGCTGGCTTGGTTTAAACATGTACCATGTTTTTGTACTGCAGGCTTTGCTTTCATGTTGAGCGTTATTGACAGGAATCAATTTCAATAAAAGGGAAATTTACATGCATCATTTCCTTTTGGATTTGTTGATGACATAAGCATATCACAGATTTCTGGAGTGGTGTTGGGGTAGCCTATTGGTTAAAGCGTTCGCTTGTTATGCCGAGAACCCGGATTCGGTTCCCCACATGGGTACAATGTGGGAAGCCCATTTCTGGTGTCCCCCGCCATGATATTGCTAGATATTGCTAAAAGTGGTGTAAAACCACATTCACTCAATTCTTAGATTTCCTAGTTACATTTTAAATTTAAAAGATGTAAACAATTACCTTAGTTAAGAAAATAATTGCTTTCTTGTGTGACTTGAATAGGCTAGTTGCTAGAACATCCACACTGCTGAGCCATTGGTAAATTGTTTAAAGAATTGGATCATACGTGACACAGTTAGTGTGACATTAACAAATAACTATGAATGTTCAGTTTTCCTGTGTTATAATACAGCAACATATTTGTAGCTACATGTGTAGCACAGAATCCAGTGGTATCAACACGATGCATTCATCAAGACAAACTTCTTGTTGAAATGTTTACAATGATAGCAAGGCGGTTTTTGTGTTTCAATAATTCCACACCAAATGACAGTGATATAAGGCAAGTTGAACTGGTGTGGAAGTACTGCAGGGTCTTGTTTCAACACTCTTTGACACATCCCATACTTCACCCTTCCTTCGGGAGGTTCTTTTGTTGTATTTTTAAAGCTGAGGTGATTAAATGTAAAGGTCAGTATGTTCAAATTTTGGAAATGTTATGGAATAATGTATATAATTATTACTTCTTTTTTAAATAGATAACTGCACATTAATAACCATAATCGGTATACAAGTGTATTCAAAGTGAAACCCTCATTAACCCTGTGAAGTGTGGATCATTGTAACAGAATGTGGTCATGTTGACTTAGAGTATGGTCATGTTGACTTGCCCATGCTGTAGTTGTAGTGCTAAATGTAATCTAGTTCTACAACCCCACTAGTCATCTGTGCAGCAGCATATCAAACATGAACTTCCTCATGTTAACTTCATTAAAACTTCCCAATATCGGACTTTGTAGAAAGCCATACCTCTCACAAGCTTGCAAATGTATACCATCATATACTGTTCCTGCATGAACCTTTTTCATTAAGCTAATCATATGTTTATGTCATGAAACATTACAGTCTAGATCGATAAGACTCAGATAGGATTAACTCTCATCATTTATATATGTTGTAGCATGATTCTGTGAAATGCACATGATTTATAATTCTTCCTGACAACACTGGCGACATATTGATTGACATCTGGTAGCCATTTCAGGGGACTCGGAAGAATAATCGTTGCATGTATTTCATCTGACTTTGGTATTGATGCGTTGGCAATGGTGAGAATCTGTATTCGTTAAACAGGTTTCACGACATTAGATGGTGATTGTTGTTCTGCCAAATTCAATAAATGTTTTTGCCTTGGTCATGTTTGTTTAATGAGTAGCAGTGCTATCGGATTTTGTGGTTTAGATCTTGTAAATTGATATGCACAAGCATTAATATCTTTTATTGATTCGTGATAATTGAGTTTCGACTAAGGAATTATATTGTATGTGTAGATGTGCTGTTTTTGAGAGTATGATAAGGCTTTAAAAGAGATTGTCTCATGGTAAAATGAGAAATCAGAAAAACTTTAATTACAAACATTTTTTTAAAAGTATGTAGTCTTGGCCAGAAAAAAACAACCCTCCATCGTTTTTCCATTATCTTATTTTCATGGCACCTATTTGACTGAATTCCCTTAAAAAATGACAAAAATTGGTGTTGTTGAGAAAAGATCTGCTTTTAATAAATTTGAATCTTTGAATGACAATTTTAGAAAGCAGTATTAATGTTATCATCGTATAGGAACCACCTTCTAATGAATGTCCACAATCATGGTTGTTATCAGGGGACACGAGATGCAAAAGAACTGTCAGTTCTAAATTTATATAAAAGAAAAGATAATTATACAAAGACTTTACTTTAAAGGACCCACTGTTTAATATTCTGGAGGCCTGGGATGTTTATTAAAGACCAGATATTTTGCTGGTCTCTGCTATAAATACACAATAATTTTTATCCCACGGATATATGGTCTGCCTGGTTGTCTCCCTGACCGCCTGTCCGCCTGTCCTGTCCTGTCCTTTCATTTCCAGAGCATAACTTGGAAACCATGTAAGGGTTTTCATCCAAACTTGGTACATGTACTGACCAGGGTCTGAAGTGGTGCTTTTTGCTATTGTGGGGATTTGCTATCTTCTGATGACTCTTGTCTTCACAAGGAGGAACCGAACAATTTACAAACAATTTGGGGATATAACCTTGAGACAAAGACAGTAACCCCCTAAGAGCAAGTAGTCAATCCCTAATTAGACATTTTGGAACGTCAGGCAACCACATCACTTTGAAATGAATAAAGGCCTGCCAATCGCCTCCAAATCAGAGGTGTAACGTCATTAGCGTATCTGCTTCACTGATGTGAGGCCAGGTGTGTGAACTGCAGGGGTGAGGCAGTCTTTGATGATGCTAGGTCGGAGGTGTAACGTCTTTAGCGTATCTGCTTCACTGATGTGAGGCCAGGTGTGTGAACTGCAGGAGCGAGGCAGTCTTTGATGATGCTAGGTCGGAGGTGTAACGTCATTAGCGTATCTGCTTCACTGATGTGAGGCCAGGTGTGTGAACTGCAGGGGCGAGGCAGTCTTTGATGATGCTAGGTCGGAGGTGTAACGTCATTAGCGTATCTGCTTCACTGATGTGAGGCCAGGTATGTGAACTGCAGGGGTGAGGCAGTCTTTGATGATGCTAGGTCGGAGGTGTAACGTCATTAGCGTATCTGCTTCACTGATGTGAGGCCAGGTGTGTGAACTGCAGGAGCGAGGCAGTCTTTGATGATGCTAGGTCGGAGGTGTAACGTCATTAGCGTATCTGCTTCACTGATGTGAGGCCAGGTGTGTGAACTGCAGGAGCGAGGCAGTCTTTGATGATGCTAGGTCGGAGGTGTGATTGTTGGATGCAAATAGCAGTGGCTCAGGGAGATCAGTGTTGTGATGGTGTAGGCCTCTCTGCTTCATCACCTTCAACAAGGTTGTTTGTTGATAGATGGTGCTGTTGGACACAAATCTACAGTTTTCTTTCCCGCAGTATATGTGTTGACTTTCTCATGATTGAGAGGCTTCCTAGTTTGAGAGTGTTGAGTGTTGAATGGTTTCTCAATAATTCATCTCTGCTATTTTTTAATGCTTGCCTAACCTGGTTATATTGATGTTTAAAGTTTCTCACATAGATTTCTTATTTATCTGTTGGTTTGTTGTTCAACGCCACAGTCGACAATATAACTGCTATATGACAGTGGTCTGTAAACAATCGACTCTGGACCAGACAATACAGTGATTGATGTCATAAGCATCAATCTACGCAATTAGGACACGATGACATGCATCAACCAAGTCAGCAAGCCTGTCCACCCGATCCCTTTAGTCACCTATTACGACAAGCATACTTTTCTCTTAAGACAAGCAAGGGTTGCTGAAGACCAATTCTATTTTACCATACAGTGATCGCTCGCTATAGTGCTCTTCGATAAAGCGCTACTTCGGTTATTACGCGCGGTAACGCATGGCTCCCAAAATTTATGTACACTTTTAATACTGAGAGTTTTACACAGACATGATTGTATTGTTGTTCCGTTGTTTATTTGCACATAACGCTTCTCATTGCATAATCAACGGTTTATCGCTGAATGGAGTTCTAATAATCTGTTTGAAAACATCCGCGGCAGGTCCCGGAAATACGATTGTTCTACTAGTTAACTTTTCACACTATACATCCTTTGATCTTAGAAGCGCATGCATGCAATAAAAGAGAACCACAAGTGAAGTTTATATTCTTAATTAGTGGGCAATCCAATTTAAGGCTAAACTGTCACGCACATATAGTTGCTGTCACAACAGGGCGGTCATTCATTTCGTAATCGCGCTTTCGTAACATCGCCTGTTTTTTCCCCGTAGTTATAACAAGCGATTTCATTGGATTAAAATTTGTTTCTAATGACGCTTTCTTGCCGAAATCTGCTACAAGTTTCGTGATTGGTCAATTTTGAGCACGTGACCTCAGGCAGCCAATCAAGCTGTGATACAAATCTCGTGTTTGATAAATTTCAGACGTTAGCGAAAGATTTT